GTGGAGGGAGTAAGAGAGAGAAGAATAGAGAAGGAATCGAGGAAGGTGAAACGGCACGGCGAGCGTGGAACGTGGAGGGAGGAATCGGAACGCGAGAATGGAGCGCGATCTCTCGGCTCGAAGGTGGCTCGTCGCGGTAACGGGACGACGATACGGAAATCTTAATAGCATGGACTCATCCGTGCTACTCGGCGGTCGACGGGCAACGGCCGCCTACTCTTTGGCTTGCCACCTTCGAGCCGGAACTGCCGCTCGAGGGGACGAGCAACCCGCTTATTAACCGCGTAAAAATGATTCCGTGTTGCATCGGCCACGCGATACGCGTCTCCTTCTCTTCGATTTTCGTCCTTCTCGTTGCGATTCTTGCTTTTTCTCGATCTCGTTTCCGTTCGGATCGAACAACAACACGACTAAATTACAACACACGACAACGACTGGCAACTCTACTTTCATCCAACAGACTGACCCGAAACCATGCACTCTGCTCTCTCTTAAGTATCCACACCTACAACGCACACTCAAGTCTTACATCCCTCGCTCTTGAACTGCGCAACCATTCCTAGAAAGTCCAATCATCCAATACCCAGCTTAAACAGTCACACGAAACTCTTCTGCGCGAAACTAAACAAATCTCATTCTCACTCCGATCCTGGAAATCTTTCAGCTACAAACGTACCCACGACCAATCCATAAGACATTCATCCACATACCATAATATTCGGATGATCGGAGAACACGTGCGTCGAACGGTGTTCGGACACAAGGATCGTAACGTTGCTCGTATAAAAGTAAAGGGATAAGGAAGGATATACAGGTAGAGGTCGAGAAACACTTTTCTCATCATTAGGCTATTTTGTTGCGGAACCGCCTCAAGGTCTTACGTAGGTGTTTATTTATCGTCGAAGGCCGCACGCGGAGTATTAGTACCGGCGGATGCACGCCTATAAATGTATAATCTCTATTTGAGACAATTGTCGTGCGAATTCTAATGAACCTTCCGCGTGAACGATACGCGACATTCGTCTTCTCTGCGGGCTTTGCCAAGCTATCGTACAGTCTGTTTAAATATAAGTAGTACCTACCACACCTGTACACGACTTATATGTATATCTACCTGCAAAACGGATTTCGGCTCGAGGGAAACGCGAGCGCGTACATAACTTTTTCTTCTCGAGACTTCGAACTTAATTTGCTACGGCGTTTCAGGACGTCTAACCTAATCGACCCAATGACCTCGTACCACTGCTCATGTAGGTCGTTACTGTCACCGGAGAAACTGCGGACATTCGGGTTTACGAGATATTTCTCTTCCTCTCGTTTCTTATGTTAGTTCTCGCGCCATCTATTCCTCGCGCGCGCGCGCGTGCACGTCTTTCCAATTTATTCGAAACGCAGCGCGTCGAGTCCAAATTCTTTGTCAAATCCAGCAACGAGTTTTCGCGTCGCAACGTTCGCGAACCCATCGGTAAGGCGAGAAAAAGGAAAGAAGTCCCGGTTCGTCGTCCCGTGTATGGCCATAGACGCGAAACTTCAGCCAATGCCGGCCAACCTGCGAACGCCACTCTGGCCCGACTTTTACAATCGCGCGTTCTGCGACGAGGCCATATTTTCTCGTCGACACCTTCCGAACGACGTTTACGGGGTCTCGTTCGAAAGCGGACGGCGCGGCGCGGAGAGACGTTCGGCGAGTACACTCGAATATCTTCGCCCGGTGACGTCCGGTTCGTGGATAATCCGTTACATCGCGAGCGCAAAATACGCGTACGACCTTACCGTGGAACGACTTTCACGACCCGCTTCCATTTCCGTCGTCGATCGCCGATGCTCTCGCCGGGCGGACTCTACGAATCCCGCGTTCGATATCGCTCGGACGCGTGAAATTTCGAAACCGTACGTCACGCTCGCTAATGAAATTCCTTTCCACGCGGCATCCACCGCGATCGTCTTAATCAACGCGCTGTCGTTGCGAACGAAAAAGAATTAGCATTTTAAATCACGCGCTCCGCGGATGCTCCTACCACTCCGAGCTTCGAGCTCCCTTCCCACCGCCCGTTACGTCGTACCCCGCCACACCGTGACCGTCGCCATTCGTCTCTACTCGCGTCTACTCGCGCCTACTAGCGCCTACTAGCGCCTCTCCCCTCCATGCGGCTTCTCGCGTCCATCCTTCTCCGCCTTTTACTTCCCCGTCGACGTCAACTCCGTAATTCGTTTATTATCGAAGAGGAACGGAAGATTGATCGTCGTTTCTCGATGTTTATAATTATTTTGAACGATGCCTGGCGCTCATTGTGCATCGCGCGGAGACGAATACTCTGCTCGGCACGTTCGCGCAACGAACGAGGAAACCGATGGATTCTCTCTCCCTCTTTCTCTGTATCCCTGTTTCCCTCTCTCTCTCTTTCTTCCCGTTTTGCTTTCTCGACCAACTGTTGCCGTCTCTCTTCGTCTCCCGGATCGCGCGTCAGCATCATCATCAATCCACGTCCGAGCATTTCTCCGTGGCCGTGCATACACCGGGTTCTCGGATCCGTGCCGCTTCGAGACGCCCGTACGATTATAGGTATACGTCGAATCCTCGGCTCGAAGAGCTCGCAAATCGACGGCAAGAATTACAACGACGACGACGAGTATTTCGAAATCGTTACTGTGGTAGAGGAAGCGCGGCGAGCTAACAAAACGGACTTTGCTACGAATCGAATCCGATAAGTTTATCGGTACGTTGGTACTCTTTCAGTCGCGCGTTGGAACGGAGAAGCATCCTCGACGACTGGCCGAAGTAACATATTCTCCGGGCTGGAGCAAGCATCTATCGTTCTCGATAATCTGACATCGCCCGAACGAGTATAAGATATATATATATATATATATACGTGTAACTCGTTCGACGATACGGAGAGTCGTGTGCGCGTTTCTTCCTCCGTTTTGGAAGAAAAAATGCTCGGGGTCGATAAAACGAAACGGTCGATCGCGTTTCCCGGAGGTAATCGCACGATCCCTGACCCGACGCGAGAAATTATTAGTCGACGTCGCGTATCGAAGATTTTAGGCGCGACGTATCGTTCCGCTCCGTTCCCTTCGGTATCTAGCGCCAGGAAAAAACCGTGGTACGCGTCAGATAACGCGTAATCTTGCCACGAACGTCCTATTCGTAAGAAGAAGCAGCCGCAACTGCGTAGTCGTCGGGGGACCAATCCGCAGCGCCTCCGGCTTGCAGTTGCGTCGTTTCTCTTATTCCGATCGCGATTTCGCGGATGCGACGTTGCATTTCGATTCTCCACGGATTCTTTTCCGCTCGAGCGAGCCGCGCGAACGAGTATCCGCGTTTGGGCCGTCCGCTAACGGTACCTACTGAACATGAATACATACGCTACACAGCATCGGGCAAACCTTGTATCTTGCATCCCATCGTAACGTTCGGTACGCCAGAGATCGTTCCTTCACGCCGTGTTGCGTCTGCGCCTGCAGTGTGACGATACGGTCGACATTGAGAGGGATGAAGCGTTTTAAAAATTCCATAGAAACATCTGATTTTCTACTCGTGTCTTTTCTCGTCTTCCAGAGATTCGACCGAACGCGAGCATCGATACCGTGCTCGAACAATTGTCTTTGAGCGAAACAAACGAGACGTAACTTTGAACAGGGATCGCGACCAATCGGTGTACCGTGACCGAAATGAACGTACATATGTACATGTGTATCTACGACGTGAACGGTGTGTCTGGGGCTAGTCGGCATTTTACGAGAACGAACGTGTATGGTAAAGAAAAACGAGAAGAAACGATTGGGGGTTCGGACGGGCTGGGTGGAGGAGCGAGGGGTGGATGGAAAGATAGAAGAGACGGTGTTCGTTAGCAGCGGGGCGGAGGTTGGAATTCAAGCGGTACGCAGCAGGGTGCCTACCGTTTCTCCTCGAGACCCGGGAGAAAAAGGAAGACGCGGCCGACACGACGGATAGAGAAAGAAAGAGCAACGAAGAGATGGCTCTCGTATACATATATGTATCGTACATACATACACTGCTATACATACTCGGTAGATTCTCTTCCTGCCCCTGACTTTCTTTACCTCTGCGCTTCTCCTTCAACCTTTCCCCGGCGGTCGCGGTTCGTTCGACGGTCAGACTAAGCGACCGCTTGCTAAACCGCGCTTCTCTTACACGAAGTACAGTTAACTCTGTATTACATGCAGTCGCGAGGGCGTTCGATTATTATCGAAGATCAACGGTGTCGCGATTAAAGGAAAACGCACGGTTCCACCGTGATTTTTTCACGAGACGGATCAGTCTTGGCAAACACCATTTATTCAGAATTTTTGGCTAACTTTAGGCTAGCTTTCGTAAATCGAATTCGCGTGTTTCATTCTCAGACGTCGTACGCGTTCAACGACACTCTTGCAAAGAGAAACACTGGGTCTTGAACAGTTGCTTCGCCGTCGTCCTCCGATCGATCGAGCCTGAAAATCGTCGAGTCGCTTGGAAAAACCGTGTAAATTCGTGGAAGTTCGAGTTCCGATGGTCAAATTCCACGGGTAAGGTCAGCTAAGTGAACTAACGAACGGTTGACGTTGCCCGCGATATTTATCGCGGTATTACCCTCGGCTATACGACCGAGACCCATCGGTATTCGATAGGCAGAGGGACACTTCTGGGCAAGGGGGCGGAGGGAAGGAAATGCCAACGCGCGCGTGAAACCGACGATGCGCGACCGTGCCGGGGATCGGGGCGATCGAGGCAATCGGGGCGCGATGGGTGATCGCGAAGCAGGTTCGCTGGAATTTCCACGGGGGACTCGCGAGGTTCGCTACGGAGCTATGTCGGTGAACTCGCGCGAATTGGCCCTCGGTTACTCGACGTCCGCGAGGAACAATCGGGAATTTCTCGAGGCAGTTAACGGTTGATTCGAAGCCGAAACGATCGAACGGGTCTTCCCGCCAAAGACGCGACCATCGAAGGAAAAATTAGTGCAACGACTTTAGGTTTGTCCGTTTGTTTGTTGCAGCCGTGCAAAGAGGTCGAGTGCCACCTTCGCAGCCGTCTCTGCCAGGTTTACCCGGACAGTTCGCCCTAACGAACGGCGACGCGGTCGCGTGCGCCAGCCTGAACGGCCACTCTTACCTCTCCTCGTATATAAGTTTGCTCCTGAGGGCGGAGCCGTATCCGACCTCGAGATACGGTCAGTGCATGCAACCGAACAACATCATGGGAATCGACAACATCTGCGAGCTCGCGGCGAGATTGCTGTTCTCGGCCGTCGAGTGGGCCAGAAACATACCGTTCTTCCCGGACCTGCAGGTGACGGACCAGGTCGCGCTGCTCAGGCTAGTTTGGAGCGAACTGTTCGTTCTGAACGCGAGCCAATGCTCGATGCCTCTCCACGTGGCGCCACTGTTGGCCGCGGCCGGTCTTCACGCGTCGCCCATGGCGGCGGATCGCGTGGTCGCCTTTATGGACCACATCAGAATCTTTCAGGAACAGGTGGAAAAGCTGAAGGCGCTGCACGTCGATTCCGCCGAATACAGTTGCCTCAAAGCCATCGTCCTCTTCACTACAGGTAATTGCTCGCGTGGCCGTTTTAACTTTTTACTTCATTCTTTGTTTCCACGTTTTTTTTTTTTTTTTTTTATCCTTTTGTCTTTATTGTCGCTTCACGCCAACCAAGAAGGAAATTCGCGTAAACGATTACACGGATTTGTTTCTCGATTTCTTTCGTGAGACATATCAAGTAGATACATATGTACCTATTTTCGCGCGCGAGCGGACGGTCCATGCGGATAGGTCGAGTCGACGAGGCGAGATTATCTCACCGGCGATCGTATGGTGGCAGGCAGCCGTCCTTTCCGTAACCGTCGTGGAACGATGTTATCTCGAAGACGGTCGTTGTTGTCACGCGGTTCGTCGATCCTGGCCGAGCTTAGAGAAGCTTAGAAAGGGACAATTGTTCCCACGGAAGGCGGGTTCCGCGAGCGATGGCAGCTCCGCCGGAAGAACTCCGATCGCGACGGCCAAAGCCTCTTGACGCGCGGCTCTCGTTCGCGGCCCGTCCGTTGATCGTGCCTGCCAGCCAGCCTGGTCGACTGTCTGCGTTCCTTCGTCCAGCTTCGTCTAATCGACGCGGAAGATGTTATCGGACATCGCCGTGACTGTCATCCGGAACGCGATCCCCGTTGGTGCCTGAGCCGAGATTCACCGGCGGAACAATGCGACGAACGTTCGCTCGTCGATGTTGCACCGCCGATCGTCATCGAGTTGCGGGGACAATACTCGCGCGCGATTCTGCTGCCCTTCGTGTGTATCTCTCTCGTTCTCCCTCCATCGCAACGGCCGGCCCTTCCATTTCCCCGTTCCCCTTCCATTCCCTTCCTCAAACCGTTCCTCACCGTTTACGTGTTTTAGGTCCTCCTCGAGCCATTCGCTAGCCATCGCGCCGACGTACATACCTATGTACGTATGCATCCGTTTTGTGCTTCGCGCGCTTGCGCCATATCGTTCGGCGATAATTACGATAACGTGTTTCGGGATACGTAAAACGTTGATGGAATATTATTTACTTACAAACGTCTGGCGCGTCGCGAACAATATTCCCAAGCACGTTTCACGTCGTTTTTGCTGTCGTACGAAGAATATTTGAAACGCTTTAAAAGGAACGTTACCGTTAAGCGTTCCACTGTACGCATCTCCGTCCCTCGTTCGGTCCTCGTTTAATTCTCTCGTTTCGTATGTTCGTATTCGACGACAACGAAGTCTCGCGGTAATTATCTGCCGGCCCATCTACTCCCGTTCCTTTGCTGTCCCTCGAGGAATCACGAGCTCCATCGCCACCGACCATCCCTCCCAATACCGCACCGCATGATCGCGGATACGATCGTCCAAGAGCATCGCCGTTCCATGCCGTCGAAAATCGTCGTCGCTCGTTCCTGCTCGCTACCTGTTCTTGTTTGTCGCGATGTCTTCACCCTCGCGTACACCGATCGCATTCACGTGGAACATTAAGGCCCCTTTTCATTCCAATATGATCTTCGATCTGGTCGAGCTAGTCGTATCTTTTCGGTGGGTGGGCAAGCCACGATACACGGCAGTTCGCGAACAAATGCACGCGCGCTCGGTTCGATTCGGTTCGGTTCGGTTCGGTTCGGTTCGGTTCGGTTCGTTTCAAGGGGGACCACAAGCAGGACGACTACGAGGTTGGCCCATGGTAAACCATCTCGGTGTAGATACGAGACAAGCGGCTATTTATTTTCGTGCTATATGGGCGCGCTTAGCTTGGCTTAGCTTATGCTAATGTCCCGATTCTCGGGCTTTCTCCCTTCAGCCCTGCGCTCGGCTACCCTCTTTTTCTTCCTTTCCTTCGCCACGAAGGACCCGCTTCACCTCCTTCCTCGTCGTTTTGTTTTTCCTACGTTCTTTTTTGTTCACGTTTCGCTCGGACGAACTGCGTGGATCCCCTCGCGCTACGCGATACCCCGGCCCTTGGCTGTTTCGCCTCGCCCTTACCTCTTTCTTACTCCGCCTCGCCTCGTTGTGTCGTTGCTTTCGACGATTTCGCGTCGAGCGCCCAAGTTTCGTAAGCTCGATCATATCCCTCTCGACGTTTTTGTCCATACACGAGCGTTTACGGGAGACGGGTCAATTTCAAACGAAACGATTCTTCGACCAGCCGCTTTCCGAATTCATTTATTTTGTCCAACTGACGTAGGTAATACACACTTCCTCCTCGGAGAATCTCCACGAATGAAAAATTATTTTTGCAATTTTCAATAGAACCACGGATTTTGATTTCCGTCACGAAGGACTAATGACGTTTCTTCAAACGTCTCGTAAACGCGGATCGCGCGTCTAATTGTTTGGATAAAACGGTGGAACGAGGGCACGGTGCATAAAGCACGTTTAGCCAGCAGGACCGACCGCTCCGGCGCTGCGGATCGGCTTTCTCCTGCGAGCACGAGATCTATACCGAGCGACGGATAAATATCCCGCGTGGGATACACGCCGGATTCGAAATTGAGAGTCGTCGACCGAAAGTGTAGGCACGCGACTACGAATTCGATACTCGATGGAATCGTGGGAATCGTAAAAACAAAAACGACGCGTTTCAACGAGAATTTTCAAAGTTTCCGTGGTTTCCTCGTTCGAGCCCACCCCGTAGATGCATGCGAAACCACGACGCAGATATATTTATGCGAGAGGGGTATTACGGCGAGTGCGGTACCTACGTGTATCTTGATGGGAAACACTCCCACGATTATGTGGCATGCGATGCAATTCCCTTTACCTTGGCTAACCGGCGAGCAACCATCGACCCACGTATTCGCTACCATGCGCTTTCCGTTTCTTAGCGGTCTCTGCATAGCCTTCTCCGTATTAACGGTGTAATTAAGAATATAACCCGTACACGAAGACCGTTTCGCTTGATTACGGGGAATCCGCTCGTGGAACGTCCGCGCGTCGATGTCTCGCCGCCGCGTTTATAGGATACCGGTCTCCTCAACGACGTTCCTCCGAAGGATTAATTCACGGTCCTCGTCGTCGGACCAGTATACGCGTGGAAACGCGTTTAATCCCGGGGATATCGGTAACGAGCTTCGAATCGTAAATGGCGCGCGCCGTTGATCACTACCGAGACGGGCGACGTTGGAATTTTCCTGGTCGATACCGCGGAAAAATTACGTTGAAATCGAAAAAGAAGAAGAAGACGAAGAGGAAGATGAAGAAGAAGATGGTGATAATGATGATGATGAAAGAGAAAAGGAAAAAGGAAAGGATTACAGCGATATCTAAACGTTCCTCTCGTCTACTCCCGGCACAGGAGCTGGCGTTCTCGTTGAAGCGACGTGCTTGGCCGATACGAGCCCGGTATACCGAGAGGGGATATCTCGTCGCTGATTTTTCCGCGCAATCATCTAACGACGCGATGGTTCCGTGCATCGTGTCCAATCGCGAGACGGCTACAGCGCATTGAAACGGACGCGCAAACGGGGGCATCGCGGAGACGGGAGGAGAAAGTAACCGCGATCGTTGTTCGTTCTAGCTAGACGAACCGATACGTTCTCGTACGGACAACCGGATTTCGATACCGACAACTTCTGTTTCGATGGTCTAAACGGTACGGATGATCGTTCGAGGAGAACAATTTTGAGCGACGATCTCGGCGGTTATACCCCATGAAAATTCAAACTGACAGGATTAAAGAGAACACTTACGCAGCTACACATGTGTATACTCTGTCGCGATTATTACGTAAACTGTATTTTCGTATTGTGATGTCAGCTTTGAATATAGACTACGGAATTCGTATATGCAGATTCATTATTACACCGGCGCGTGTAATTTTAATGTAATTTCGATCGGTGCATTAACAGGAGCTGCGACATAAGTGGATTCTTGGACAGATTCTTTCTGTCTCTTGACCGGTCAACGACAACCTGTACATATGCAACGCATTAAATTTCACGATTACTCGGATCTCGAACCGGAAAAAATGCCCGATTCGATTGGTAACCTGCACGAAAGCGAGAATAACGCGAGAACGGTCGACCAAATCACACCGATCGTTAATATTGCCTACACGTAGTCGTGTCCCCGATCCGAGTGGCGTATTATTGACGCGTTTATCGTTGTCGTTATTATCGCCGTCTGTCGTTCGCGCTCACCTGTTAACCTCGGATAATTTATCGACACTGCGAAACGTTCGTGCTCTCGAAACGTCGACCGGAGATGGGCAGAGAAACGAGAACCGGTAGAGACAACCGAGCGAGAAGGTGATATAACGGATAATTGAAGGGGCGCGATATTTGCGTGGTGTTTAAATCGATTATAACGTCTATCGCCCGTTATAGACCATCGTCCAGAATCCTCGACGATTCCACGACACAACCATCGAAATCTACCAGGAATAGCAACGAGACGGTATTCTTCGAGGACGTCTAGACGGCTAAGAATAAAGAACGAGGAAAACAATGTTAATGGGGTGTACCACCGGACGCTGGCGTCGCGAACGTTAATCAATACCACTTTTTGTAGTAACGTCCATGGACAGTGGTAACAAGTGGAGAATAAGAGAAAAACAGCACGCCTTCGAACGACTAAACGAAATTGTCCCCCGTCCGACCGAGGCCGTGACCGAGACCGGGACCGAGACGGCAATCTATCCGTGATGCAGAATCGAGGGGATGTCGAACGAATGGCCACACGCGTGACGCGTGCATACGTATCACAAGACAAAGGGAAAACAGAACGAGTGAGCGAAACCAACGAACGGACGAACGAACGAACGAACGAGAGCGGGAGTTACGAAGGGATGAAGCTCTCCGGAGAAGGGGAGAACACGTTATCTGCGAAACCGGGACCACGATCCTCGCTACCGGCTCTCTATCTCTCGCATTGTTACTTGGCGTTGAGTCGGGGTCGCATCCCCCAACCCTTGACTTTGAGCGTTACCCATTTTCGTTTTATTATCTGCCCTCTTCCGTTCGCGTACACGTTGCACGCCCGACACTGTGTTTCGCTATCGGCGCTCGAAACGAGGGTGACCAAAAATTGCCCGCCTTTTTCCGC